AGATCGTTACGCTGCTCTGAGGGACATTATCCTAGTGGAGAATCTCTTTGATAAACCAGCGATTGCAACCGGCACTCAACCTGAGAAGGAAAAGGATCTGTTGCAGGACTTTCCCGAATTCAGTGATGAGTTCAATGAGGATCATGACCTTCGCCAAATTATGGATCATCAGAATGTGCAGACTCATGCCCGCGATCGCCATGGTTTGGTTGACAGTAGGGGCTTTCCAACAGAGCCTTCATCTTCCGCTTTGACGGTGGGCGATGATGACGAGGACGAGGATGCTGATGCGGGTGGTGAGAGCAGCCTTGATAGCAATGAGAAGGATGCAGAGCCTGTCAGCGGTCAGGATCAATATGAAAAGCTTTCCACGTCCACACAACAACTGGATGCAGCTGCACCGGTTCTAGAGGATGTGCAACAGCAGCAATCTCTGCCTCCAAAACAGGATCAGAAATTCCTCTCTGTCCTAACAGCTCCCGGTGGTGGAACGAAAGATGACATTGAGATCGACGAGCTCATGCATCGGGCAATTTCGAATCTCTCTCTGGACTCAAGGGATAGAGTTTCGCCCGCCACCTCTTCAGCAGCTCCTTCACGTGGGGCTCCCGGCCTGCACACGCCCTCGCAATTCAATGATGTCAGCACATCGCCGATTCCTCTTCAGAAACCAGGCATGGGTCCTTCGCCTGTGCCCTCGCAGCTGTCGGCGGTGTCCCAACTGATCGATACCGCAACCAAACAAATGATGTGCGACAAGGATCGGGAAAAGCAATCCTGGGCTACTTTTGATTCCCCAAAGGCAAAGGGTAAGGCCAGGCTAACACTACCGCCACCACCACCGCCTGCCTCCAACACTTCGCAACCGGATACGGTAGAATCGCCTTGCAGCTCGGATCCCCGGGATGACGGCTGGTCAAAGCAACAGCGTCGCTGGGCGAAGAAGGAGCGCCAGCACACCTCCTCCTCATCCCGAGATCTAAGTCCCTGGGACGATGAAACGCCGGAGTATCTGAAGCGGCGACAGCTGGCCGCCGCTCAAATGGCTCATCCCCATCAGCCACCAATGCAAGTACCCCCTCAACATACGGATCGGCATGGATACTACATGAGACACGCCAGGCGTATGAACTCATGCGACGAGGACTACGAGTAAGCCCTCTTCTTTGAATAATTATCAAAGTAATAATTATAATAATTCCCTATATCATTAATATTTTAGGTACGATGCGGAATTCGTTGCACGCCGCGATCAGCAACCACATCCACAGCAGCAGCGAAAGTTCAAGCACGGACTCTCTCGCAGCAGGGATAACTTTGAATTGGGTGCGTGTTTCATAAATCTGATTTTTAAACCAAGCGTTTACCATACTTGTGTTCTTGCAGAATCTCCCAGCTGGTACCATCACCCGGCGCACCACACATGGTCGCCTCAGGAGATTGAGCAGGCGCGGCTCCGATCCTTCGATCGTGCTGCTTACGAGCGATCGAGCTATGGGCCACCACCACCCATTTACGACAAACGCGGCCAACTGAGGGGCAAATACCGCGGAGATCACAGGGATAGGGAGAGAGAGCGCGATCGCGACCGAGAGTATCGGGACTATGCTCATCCAAGCTACGATTTCGACTACGAAAATGTTTACGAAGAGCGTGGAGGGCGTTCCCCGTTGGCCTACAAGCCAGGAAGGGGTGGTGGTGATTATCTGTATGACAGAGAAAGGGATCGGGAGCGCGATCGCAAATCCTTCGATCGGGAGAGTCTCGAGTCCTATGAAAGTGCCACCCGTCGTCGTCGCAGTTTCGGTAGTGGAAACGATGTTTATGGCAGCTTGGATAGTCGCGATGATTACCGTGGAGATAGGGAAAGGGATCGTGAACGTGATCGCGAGCAGATGAAGACCCGTTCTTTACGAAAGCCCACAACTACGTCTGGAAAGCTCCGGATAAGTGGCGACATTGATTACGAGCAGGACTCGGAGCAGGACTTCCAGCAGCGATCTGGAGTACGAAGCCTGCAGCGTCCTAGTCAGATAGGCGGTGATGTGGTGTTGCCCTCCAATGCAGCAGCGGGCCCACAACGATTGCGCAAGAGCAGCGGCTCCAGCCCCTGGGATGGAGAGGGTATGTGTCTTAAGTTGGTTATTCATATCGATTCCTTTGTATTAATGCTATGCGCATTGCAGAACCGGCCTTGCCCGGTCAGAAGTCCTGGAAGCGTCCAGCCAGCGCTGCTGAAACCGAAAGGCGACTGGCTGAGAGTCGCAGAGCGGCAGCTTTGGGTCAAACTCCCTCCGATGGAGAAAAAGAACGAAGGTCAGTGGGATGTTCTTTGAAAAATTGCGTAATTACTTTATTTAACACCACATTAAACTCGCAGATTCCGCAAGAAGACCCGAGCCCGCAGTACCAAGGATCTAGCCACTGTCGGTGCTCCCAGCGCAAGTACTTCTGCCCCGTCCAGATCAGGCTATGGGCGTGGCATTAGGGATAACTATGACTACATCTGTCCAGGCCAGCGTAACGATGACGACGACGATGATGATGAGGACTATGTGGATGATGAGCCGCCAACGGATGAGGATAAGTTCGAAAGGTTGAACCGTCGGCGACATGAGATGCACCAGCGGATGTTGGAGTCCGAACGTCGGCAAATGGAACGCCATCAGCCTCCATCGCTGGCGAAGCTTCCTGGCCAGAATCGTACACGAGGTGTGGTGGTTAACAGTGACTACGGCTTTGTGGACAGTTATGAGCAGACTCCAACTCCCACGCCACGTTCGAATGCTAGTAGCACCGGACCGGGTGGCCTGATGATGAGTGGCGGTGAGTCCTCCGCTGGAGTTACCAGTTCCAAGTTCAATTTCGACGATGGATTTGAGTCTGATTTCAATCAGAGCTCACCGCCGCCGGCGCCAGCAGGTACTGCATCCAGTTGCAATTCCACGCCGGCGGGTCCAGTTTCGGCAAATGCAAACAACGGCGGATCAAAGAGCCTGTTCCGCTTCTCCAACGATTTTTCGGATCGCGAAAAGCGGGAGCAGTTCGAGATGGAAACACCGCCGACCTCAACACCACCAATTACGCAGAAACTGCGATTTGATGATAATGTGAAGGTCTCCCAGTTCGACGATGCTGCCTTTGAAGATGATTTCGCAAAGGCATCATTTGATTTTGAAAAGGAACAAGCAGGATCTGGCACAGCAGGAGCTGGAGCATCAGGTGCCATGAGCAGGAAGCAAAATATGCGGACCAGCAAGCTGCAGCAGCGCCAGGAGCTCATCAAGAAATCCGAGTCGGTAAACATATTTGCCAAAAAGCAGGAGGATCCCTTCGAGGATGACGAGTTCTTCAAATCACCGGAACAAGAACAGGCGATGGATCAGCACAATGATGACGCCGAGGGCGGCAAGTTCCAGTGGAGCGAGGACGCGAACTTTGCAAAGTTCGACGAAAACATGTGATTTGACCAACTGTTTGCCAAGGCATCGGTGCAGCGACCGGATCCGGATACCGATAACAACAACTATGCGGAGATCGATGTGGTCAACGACACGGACTTCTCCTTCCTGGCAAATCTCAATCACTACTACCAGCAGCAGCGACTGCACAGCCTACGGCAGAGCTTGAACCGCCATGTTTACTGCAACTTGCCAGTCCAGCAGTTTCAGGAGCAACCGAATCAGCCGATGAGCAAATCCATCTCCACATCGACCAGTCCCTGGCATGAGCCAAAGGTCCAAAAGTCCAAGCCACTGCAGCAGCTGCTGAGGAAGCCGAAAAAGTGGAAACTCAAGCGCACCCTAGATGACTTTGTAAAGTGTCTGATCATTGCGTCCTCGGAGCATGTGTACGACTACGATGTGCTGTGGTAGGAGCAGGCGGATTGGGAGGCGGAGGAGCAGACCTCACAGAGAGAGAGAAACGAAAAACCATACGATATTTAATTCGCCACATATATCTAGTCAACGCAATCGCCATTAAACCTGTAATATCGTAACACTCAACGAGGGCTGAAGAGGTCCTCTTGCTCCCGGGTCTGCCCAAGCCAAAACATCACACAGTTCGCATCCTGTTTCAAAGTCAGATTGTATATATAGATTTATGAAGAAGTCGATTCCAACCAAGCCATAGAGAAAACTTAAACGAGAACAAGTGTTTGTTAAAGCTACTCCCCACTCGTCAAATAACGAAATACTCACGCCCCGCCCGCATCATCAATCGATCGCAAACCGAAAGCAACTATTAATTGCCTATGCTAGATGTCGTCTACTCCATATATCGAATTATCCAAAGTGCAACCATTGTGCTAGCATGCAATACCACATATATTCCTAGGGTACGTTTATGTTTATGCATACTACAAGCATAATTTGTATGATTGCTTGATTACATAGTTAACTAACGACTAATTAGTTTAATTCCACGGCAATGTCGCAGCAAAGTGTTTTATGATTTGACTATACATTAATCATACACGTAACTATATATTTATACGTAACTGAACAAGCAACTGAAACTGAACGATCAAGTAACTCCCAAGCAGCTAAATAATATACGATAATTATACATACAAACTATTCTTATATGTAATGCAATTATACGAGTACGATAGTTATTGTCAAGTCTCTTTGTGTAAGGGATGCAAAAATTGGTTTTTGTCTCATCATTTTGTTCTATTAATTAAACTGTGAGAAGCATATTAAAAGAGGTTTTATTTATTTGGACCAAAAGTCATTCCAAGAAGAGAAGTTTCAAAACATCAAGCTGGTGACTCTTGATTACTCGACTGTGTCGCAACATATAAGCCATATCGGATTGTATGCAAATGGGTTGCACCTGCCATTTAGGCCGCTTTTGGAGCCAAGTGTTTGAGAATTGCGAATTTGGAGCGTCAATTAGCCAGGCCCGCTGCGGTCTTCTACACCCTAAAAACTATAAAACCTTTGGGTGCTCCAAGCCAATGTATATTCAGTTTTCGGGCTTTGTCAGAGCAGCAATCTCCTGGAAATGCAGCAAATGGTTAGCAGATACCTTGACTTGTAAGGACATTGTCAGGATTGTAAGATTTATCTCTCTTCTGTCCTCAGTTGGTTCTTGTATCCCTGGGATTGCTGGCCAGTGTGGCGGCCAAGCCAGCACTGTTTCCTTCGGCATCTCCTTTCGGACTCTACCCAGGATTAGCTGCACCTTTTGCAGCCGCCTATGCTGCTGCTCCCTTTGCTGGTGCTCCCTTGGTCAATCCTCAGAGTGCCCCCTTGGGTGGATCTCCTCTGGCCGTGTCCAGCAGCCAGCGCTTGGACTACTTTAACCAGTTTAATGCCGCCTTTGCCCCGACTGCTCCTGCCCGCATCCTGGCCACTGCTCCATTTCCTGCCACTGGCGCCCGACTCGTTCAGCCAAATCGTTTCATTGCCTCTGCAGTGGCGGCACCATTTTTCTTTTAAACGTTTTTGAAATTCTGCCTTACGTATTGCGTTATTTATAAATAAAAGTACAAGTTGGTTGACCACTATAATTGCTTTAGCTTTTTGATGACGTGCCAAGTACTGTGTCTACAGGTGTGAGTTCCCCTTATAAAAAATATGAAAATTTAGTAGTCATACCACAATGAAATACTTAAAGAAAAAAGGAAAAACTTTAAGCACAATCTATCTATCTATCCAAGAGGTTTTAAGATAATGAGTTGAGATAAGATGATTGAGTTTTTGATTACATTAGTCATATATTTCCGCAGAATAACAAACATATTATACAATTTCATTGGTATCGAATATCACAATATATTGAAAATAGGTACGTGGCACATTTCGTAATACAACGATCACCAGACACCCTTGTAGCCATATCCAACGTTATAAGAGGGATAGTAGTAGGGATAGGTGTACGGATAGGTGGAGGCATAGGGATAATTGTAGGCGGGATACGGATGCGGATAGCCTCCGGTGTACTTGACGTAGGTGTTCGGATAAGTGGCCACAGTGGTAGGAGGCACGATGACGCGATTCCAGTTTCGAGTGACAAACTGATGGCTGGTGGCCACGGGAACCAGGCGGGGAATGGCAGTGGCCACTGGATGCGTTGCTGGATACGTTGGAATCACTCCATTTGCGGCAGTTGCCCAGCTGGCATGGGACAGGGCCAACCCAAGGAGCAAGTAGCCCAACATTGCAGCAAAAACCTGGAGTAATATAACGTTAAGATAACACTATAGGTACATTTATCCTCAGGGGTACTCACGATCTTCATGATGAGGCTAACTACCTGGGCCACTCGATCACTAGCCACTGTCCATTCGAAACCCATCCAAGTTGCTTTTATAGCACGCCGAGATCGGATTTGACTTTCAAATGCAACCACCCTTTTACGGACGACCAACCATCTTTGGGCCACCGACTCGTCCAAGGGCAGATTTGCATTCCCAAAGAAGAGAAGCCAGCGAAGCTTGGAGGGCAAAGCTGACGCAAGCGGAATTTGTGCCCAGACAAAGGCTGGCCATTTAATTATGCTGTAATACACCGATCGAACCCATTGATCAAAACATCTGAGTAAATATAGAGATTCCCGGCCAGAAATTTCGCTTGACTATAAAAGCGGATCGGTGACCGAAAGAGCACACACATCAAGAAGTAAACATGAAGCTACAGTTGGCCCTCGTTTTATGTGGTTTGACTCTGGCCTTGGGCCAGATTGTTCCCCGCAGCTCCTGGTGTCCTGTGCCACTCTCGCCGAGATTGCCAAGGCTCGTGGTACCGGTTCGACTGATTATCATCCATCACACAGTCACGGCTCCTTGCTTCAATCCGCAACAGTGCCAGCTGGCACTTAGGCGAATCCGAGCCGATCATATGCGCAGGAAATTCAGGGATATTGGCTATAACTTCCTGATCGGCGGAGATGGTCGGATCTACGAGGGCTTGGGTTTCGGCATCCGCGGGGAGCATGCTCCTCACTATAACAGCCAGTCCATTGGCATTGCTTTCATTGGCAACTTCCAGAGTAAGTCCTCCCATCGAAACTCTGTGCCATCGTTAATATGTTTCTGTTTCAGCTGGACTACCTCCTTCGCAAATGCTGCAGGCTGCCCAGACACTCATCCGAATCGCCGTGCAGCGTCGCCAGGTTTCGCCCAACTATTCCCTGGTGGGTCATTGCCAAACAAAGGCCACCGCTTGTCCGGGCAGACATCTTCTGAACGAGCTCAAAAAGTGGCCACGCTGGCAGCCGAAGCCTTAAGTTCCCATAAGTCATCCGAACGTTGATGTGATCGAATTAAAGATGTAAATTTCACTTAGAAATGTGTTCCTAACGTACATCTTAAAACCTCTTTTCTATAGATAAATGGATGTAAATAATTGTGCATATTACAAGTAAATACAAATTTTAGATACACATTAATTTTAAAATATTTATTATACATTAGTTACATATATGACAACTTAGTTTTGCCTCCAGTGCGGCCACGTTTTGATCTCGTTGTATAGAGCATCACCCGGGCAGGAAGTGGCCTTGGTCTGCCGATGACCGAGCAGCGTGTAGTTATCCTTGAGGTATCCCCTCACCTTGGCCAGCTCGATCAAATCCTTGGCGTTCTGGAGCATCTGGGAGGAGGGAGCATTGCGTTCGAAATTGCCGATGAAGACGATGCCAATGCTCTTGCGGTTATAGTTGGGGGCATGTGATCCCTGGAGCCCGAAACCACGACCCTCGTACACATTTCCATCTCCGGCCACTATAAAGTTATAGCCAATATCGCTGAAATTTCGGCGACCCTTGTGATCCGACTGGATGTTCTTGATCATGCGCTTGCACTGCTCGGCTGTGGAGCACCCATTGGGGTTGTCTGAATGGTGGATGATCACATAGTCCACGGCGCCGGATATCCTTGAAGGGGATCGAGCAGGCACTGCACCCCAACTGCTGCGGGGCTCAATCTGCAGGGCATTGGCGGATAGAGCTAGTCGGGAAGAGAATATGATTAGCTGATTTGGTTTGGGTTCGAGCAGGCTTGACTGATTACCTAAGGAGCAGAGCACTAAAGCAGCCACACACGTAATTGCCGTCGATGTGTTCATCGTTACCAGATTGAAGATTGTATAAAATTCTGCGCGCACGGCTGTTTATATAGAAGACTTTCATTTTTTACGGGAAACGAAGCGTTAGATACCCCTTAACACTGATTTGGCTATGAACACAGCTCGACCGAACCACCAACCGATCATAATCAAATCATGTAATAAAGAACGTATTTAAATTGTAAGCACAAACACCAAGGAAACGGATATTTGTTCTGCACAATGGTGCATTTTGGACAAAAGATAACGAACATACAGTTTTGAGATCATTGCTAACAAAATTCTTAGCTAAATATGGATGCAGCACATGAAGATGACTACTTCATCAGTATTAAAAGAAAGTAATTTATACGATTGGTTATCTAAAGAAGAGGTAAAAGTAGTTGCGACTTTCTATTTAATTATTTCGAAATAGGTAAATGACTATTTACACATATGTCATGTCATACACATCACAATATCGAAATACGCAGGGTATGCACACAAAGTGTGAGGTAAAAAACCTGCGGGGAATCACTTGCGCCCCGAGATAAGAAGCTGCTCCCGGAGACCCCATACACACGTTCACGCTATACACAAAAACTTTTACCATATTATATTTGAATAATCTAAATAAAACAACATATTCCATATAGTTAACCCACATTTTAGTTCTCGATGGTCTTTCGCTGCTTGGCAATGATTTGTTTCTTGGTTTCCTTTGGAAGTTTGGTTGCTTTGTTGGCCTTGGTCTTGGGATTTTGCCTTTCGGAGGATTTGCTTGATGATAGCAAGATTTGATTCGCTTTTACTTGCAGCTTTTCCATTAACGTCAGTGGACGAACTGTGGCTGTTTCCTCCTGCTTTTTGTGGAGCATTGCCTTAGTGGCCACACGATTCTTCTCGGCCGCCTTCTTGTTCTTGTTTTTCTCGTTTTCCCTGCGAAGGTGGTCTAAGGCCTCTTTGTAATCAACCGCATGCTGAATCTCAATATCTGGAGACACGTGGATTTCCTCACCCAATTCCTTGTCCGCATCGCTAAGTATTTTCTTGAATAGAGCCATGTCTTGTTCGGTGAGCAAGGTGACAGCGGTGCCCTTTCTTCCCGCTCGAGCCGTTCGGCCCACTCGATGAATGTATGTCGTGATGTGGCGAGGAGTCTCATATGAGAGTACAACATCTACATCTGCCACATCTATACCACGCGCAAGTGCATCTGAGCAGATCAGTCCGTTAATTTTGCCAGCAGAAAAGTCTTTCAGTTTTTCCTTTCGAACCCTGGCCGAAAGATTTCCCGACAATTCAGACACTATAGTGCTATACTTTTTAAAAAGCACCTTTAGCACGAATGTAAGTCGAGAGGCCTGATCCGAACTGTTTGTGAAGCACAGGAAGCGCTTCCATTTGTACTTTTCCACCAAGGCAAAAACAGTCAGGGGCTTCAGTCGCAGCTCCGTTACACAGTACTGCTCGGTCAACTCCGCCGGCGTTGTGTATCTGCCCACAAATTGTCCTGGATCTGTATGCGCTTCGGTATCTGCTTCTCCTTCCGTTATATCCTTCAACACGGGCATAGTAAGCACAGTGGTGAACAGACGAGGCTGAAAGAGTCGCAGGTTCTGTAGCTTCTCTGGATCTTGAGACAAGGTCGCCGAGAACAAGAGCTTATGTGGTTGCTTGCCAAAGCTGGATTGCAGTTCTGCATAGCATAGAGGGGCTTGAGTGCCGGCCAGCAGCTGGTCGGTGGTCTCCTTTACATGACTGTCCAGATGGTAAAGCCAGTTTTGAAAAACTGCATCCATTATCCGATCGGCCTCGTCAATGACCAGAAATTTAAGACTCTTCAGGCAGAACCCTTTAGTGGCGTGCAGATGTTCAACCAAGCGGCCTTTAATAAGAACACATATTTAATGAAAACTATATGGTTCCTCTCGGGTTGTCTAACTCACCTGGTGTGGTCACCACAATGTCTGCCTTGGAGTAGTATTTGCCTTTATATTGCTCAACCACCTTCTCCTGCTCATCTTCTAGTTTATGTTGCTTTGATAGAAGGCAGACCTCCAGCTCCGTTTTGCTGCACAACTTACTGATGACCCGGTAAACCTGCAGGGCCAGCTCTGCCACAGGAAGGACGATTAAAGCCCTCACTTTACACTCCACCCGTTGGGATAACAACTGGACAATTGGTATGGCGAAGGCCAGGGTTTTTCCACTGCCCGTGGGAGCAGATACACAAATATCTCGCGGACGAAAGGGAGGTGGCTTAGCGTGTGCCTCCAGGATCCATGGGATGACCTGCTTTTGGACTGGGAAGAGCCGCTTTATCTTCATCTGCTTAAGAGCCTCACATGTGTACTTCTCCAGGTAATCGAGCTGGTCAATTGCCTCGGAGGCGGGTATTTCATCCTCCGGCTGCAGGCTTCCGCCTTCGATGATGGTGGGATGCGCCAGCCAATTGGGCAGCTGCATCTCAACTTTTTTCTTCTTCGCCGCCGAACCATCGCCGCCAAGAACTTGAAACTCATTAGAGGGCACGTCTGGCTCTTCAACAACTTCTAGGGGCTTCTCCAGTTGTTCCACCCGCTCCTCCTTGGATTCCTCTTCCTTAACATCTGAGGTTTCTTTCTCCGAGATGGATGTTTCTACAACTTCAATGTTTTCATGTTTCCTCTTGCGTTTCGCAGCCTTTTTAAGCAATTTTTGCAGTATTTCATCCTCGTTGTTGGTGCCTTGGACCCCATCGTTTTGTTCCTTTAAATCCTCGGTATACCTAGGGTGTAATTCAATTAATTTCAGTGTAGTTAAGGAATGCCACTTTAATTACCTATTTACAGTGAATAATTCCATTATTAGCACTGTTTTTATTAAAATAAACGAGGACGAGGTAAATGCACGTGTTGCGGCTACTTTGTTTACGTTTTACAAAAACATGTTATCGATATCGGGGATGCGGCACTTCGATAATAGGTAGTGTTCACTTATCGGTCAGTGTGACCTTATGCACAAAGGCGCGTTTATTCAAATAAATGAGCTTCAAAGTGAAGGGCTTTGCGGTTTTAACTAATTACATTAAAATATCCTATAATCCTATCTAAGTTCACGGTGGATTTATGTTTTATTAAATATATTGTACTGGTTTTTAATATTTGTAACTAATACATTCTTTACCTACATACAACAAAATATACATATTTATTAGTAATGCGAGTAAATAAATGTTTACTCATAGAATCTCCTCATATTTCCATCTCATCGTATTAATTATTCACACAGTATTCCAGTTTTTGAAATAATTAACAATATTCCCATAACCGCAAGCAGAATAATTCACAACGGAAATGGAATCATATTCTTGTTTTCAAGGGGCTTCGTAGTTTCCCTTAGATATATAAAAGTATTTACGAAATACGTTGATGCGTATACAAAATGCCGCTAGCTTCATGGGTTTCTTGGGGATTTTTATGCCAGCCGGTGATTCATAATTGGCCCAGAGATTGTTTTCACGTGAGCGTCGGATGCAAAGTTAAGCATCAAAAATAATAAATGTTTATGGATTCTAAACAGGTTTAGAGGTTACTTACATACTCCACTAAAACTAAAGTGCGACAGAACGACAATATTTAGACGTCTTAATGCAGCTATAAAAGTGACATATTTGACGAGCTTTTTAAATATTTCCAAACAGTCTTACTGTTACTAATATAAACACTTTTTTGCTGCTACACTTTAAAGTTCCAATTGCCATTTCCGTTCGTAAATTTGTATTTTTAAATGGGACCATTAATCATGCCGGCGGGCGTTTCAATTCGATTCAATTCAGTTCAGTGGCAGTTGAACACCTGTGACGGAGGACGACACGCCCACATCGTGTGTCAGAACTTATATATAGTACCACTTGGCCCACTGTTGTCGGGGCTGGAACCTTAGATTTTGTTGAGCACGTAAGGATCTACATAACATAAAAACTGGATTCGAAATGTAATATATACTAATCTTGTTTATCAGGGCTGTAGATTCATTTGTTCATGATTCACTAATTGTTTAGCTTCAGTTTATTCGAACATGCCTTCTCCCAACTAACTAACTATTATTATATTCTATATTCTTTGGATGAATAGTTTTCGGCGTAAGTAATGATTTGGGAATCGTAACGTTTTAAAAAGGAGTGAGCGTATGTATCTGCTAAATGTTCCCTGAGTTTGAATACTTTCAGCTCGAACCAGTACCAGGCTCTTTCATTTAGCACATGTGCCGGATTAAAATATCAAAACTGGATGTGGAGTTATGAACCGAGTTTGCGGATACGAAAGCTACCCATATAAAGGCTATTGTATGGCAAAAAGAGTCATTGTTCAGTTCTTTTGGCGCTTCCAATGCTAAAACGGGTTTATTTGGATAAATGCCATTCCGTTTTTAGTTTTCGACTCCCCTGACAAAGTCTTACTTGGTATCTGTACCCGACCCCAAAACCAAAAGACGATCTTATCTCGCTGTTCCATGGCTTTTATCATTCCGATCTAATTGAATTTCCCCCGCACCTTTTTCAGTACTCTCTCTCTTTTTTCCTTATCAATCTTCCGGAGAAAAATTGTGGTTGCTGTTACTTGCACTTAATTCAACATTGTTTTCGCTTTTTAGTTTCTGAAACCTAATTAAAAACTTTGAAGTAAGAAATGGGGGAAATCAGACGTGCAATTGAATTCCCACCTACTGCATTATTTTGTGTTGGGTTTTGAGTAGTGAATTTAAACAGAAGACAAGCTCTGCAAACTGCAAGCTTACTTTGTAGGCCAATAGAGAATAATTAAATTTGCTTACCTGTGAAATATTTCACAGAAGTTTTAAGGTGCATCATACAATTCATTGCAATTTTAAGTAAATACATTTAAAAGTAATAAAATAAACGGGTAGGTATCATAATTGTATGGGAGAAAAGTACAAAAGTGTAGGTTGAAAGTAAGCCCTGTTATAGGACTATGGTTCATAGTGAAAAGTGGTAAAGAAATGTTTGATGCTTTTATGTAAGAAACGTGCCTCCTAAAACTAAGAGCGAAAAAGCAAAAGTCCAACCACTGGCAATAAAACCCATAACAATTCCATGATCGTGCCCTTCGTGGGAATTTTACGGCCCACTTGAAATATTTATTATCGTATAATGTATGCAAAGCCGCCCGTAGATTGTAATAAATGTACACCCTATAGTTCTAATTCTCCAACATCTAAACTACAAAATTTGCGAGCCCTACGCTTTCGCCATATGACAGATACAGATGCATGCTTTCCGCGAATCCGAGTATCTGAGTATCTGAGTATCCGAGCATCAAACACAGCAAGCCCGAGATGAAAGCAGTGGAGTAATATGGGCACCTGCTCGGGGATCCCCAGCTCGATGGCCAGCTGCGCCGGAGCGGCGGCGAGAACTTGTCTACAACTCGGGCCCGCTCCGCCGCTCGCTTATAACGGTAGGACATAAAAGCGCGACAGCTCATTGACAAGCGTTTCGCTGTACGCTCAACAAGTAAGCGCGCGCGCGAATCGTGGGCGCTGCGAAAGAATCGCGAAAAGTTCAACCATCGGCGAAAAAGTTTGGGGCAAGAATCTCCCGGTTTCTGCTCAAAGTTTTCGTTTGCAACACGCTAGTTTCGCGCCCAAGGATATACACAAGGATATGGAAACCATGATGCAATTCATACTGCCCCTCTTTGTGCTCACTGCCGCGTAAGTGTTAGTTTAAGCCAGCAGAAGAAAATCGAAGGTCCTAAGACCGAAAAGAATCGGGTTTTTCAAACTTCCAGATGCTCCAAATCAAACCTTGCTATTATCTTAAGTACTAAATTCACTTGGGTTAGGTTTTTGGAACTAACTTAGCTTCCAGCTTGGTTAAGTGTTTTCATAAAACTTTTGCTCTATATCAAAAATAATATTTATAACAAATAAAGCTTGCCTGCATTTAACATAGCTTTAGCTAGTACTTGTGCTAAAACACTACTTAGCCATTTAAGCTTGCCAAATTCAATGCTTAAAATTCAGTTCCAACTAGACGGGGCAAAAAAAAAAAACAGCTGCCAAAAAAGCGAATTTGGCTCAAAGAAAGCTCCAACGTGTGTTCAATCTCGCCTGACCCTGATCAGCCGAACAGCAATTGTTGTAAACGACTAGCCAAGATCATGAAAACGCATATAAAATTAAAAAGTAAATAAAAATTGTCGTAACATTCGTCAGTTTTGAATGTCACTTGATTAGCAGTGGCTTTGGTACGCAGCGGAGATGCGGGATTTTAGCTATTCGACTTGGGAGTTAGCCAAACCTCCGATTAACAAATTAACGCTTTTTGCAGATGTCTCGGCAGTCCGGTGAGCCAAACCCGTCGGTTCCCCAACGACTTTCTCTGGGGCGTCGGATCATCGTCTTACCAGATCGAGGGCGGCTGGAACGCGGACGACAAGGGGGAGTCCATCTGGGACTTCCTCACCCACACTCATCCCGAGAAAATAGCCGATCAATCAAATGCTGATGTCTCGGCGGACAGCTATCATCAGGTAAGCGGATAGTTCAATCACGTCGCTATTGTTTAATGGGCAAAATGGGTAATGTTAGTATTCAGTCTCGCAATCGGATTCTGAATCAGATTCTGAATCAGAATCGGAATCAGAATCAGTCGGTTCGTTTGGCATCACAGTTCGATTGGAAGTTATGCAAAGAGTTCAAGATCTCCAGTCGACTAGCTGAGGTAATCGACTGAAAAATATGTAGGCAACTCGCAATCGATGCACTCTGATGGCTATTAGTTACACAGCTAATTACGCGATATTATCTGGTGCTGTTGATGCTGATCTGAGCAGATGGGATTAAAGAAGTGGTCAGTGATCTTGGTGATCCGAAGAGATCAGCAGATCACTTCAGTGCATTCCTTAAGCTTGCATAGCAAATCAATTATAACTATGTGTTTAATAGCCAATGCGGTGGGGGTAAATTTGAAATAGAAGCACTTTTCTTAGCCTCTCTCTGCTTAATTGTAAGGAACTTAAGTGATTAAATCTCTTGGACATACCAAAACTTCTTATATAAATGCTCTAGTTTTGTCTCTATTTCTAAAATATTTATCATTCACCTAGTTTGGAGTTAAGCTTTGTATACTTTGAATACCTCTGGCTTCTGCAAACACCTTCTCGGTTCATTGGATGGAATACAATTTTGCCCCCAATCAATTCGCAGCCAAGATCATTGGCCAATTATGCTTAAGTGACATAGCTCTGGACAATAGCCATAATTCAATAGGCCCCTATATCATCCTAGAGCGTGGACTTGCAATGCAAATCGCATAATGTTGCATCGCATTAAGTAATTTGCATAGTTCTGACCACAAACCGCATAAGTCATAAGCAGCATGGGGACACCTGTTCGGAATTTTGTTTGATTAACTACTGTGTTCTGATAATAAACTTGTCTCCATCTGGACTTTCAGCACATTGCATTTGCGCCACTTGTTCGCCTAATTGATTAATGACTGTCGGTCGGTGCTGCATTAATGATCTTCCAACAATAGGCCGACTTAAAGGGCGTAACTTGTTTATGGGCCTGAAACGGAACTGGAGTAAACTGAATGTAAAGCAGTAGGCTTCTAGAAGCAGGAATATTGTACAACTATCTGGTTAGACCTGCTAAGTATCTTTGCATACTTGTATCAGGCTTTTCACTTCTTTGGCATGCGACCCATTTCCAAGGGGACTGATATGAACAGATAAGTAAGTTAGTTGTGATATGGGGGGCTATAATTGCCTAGATCTGTTAATGTGCACTAAGCCAGTTAATTTGGGTAACAAAATGTGTTATGGTGTGATATTCATGCAATATAAAATCCCAATTCATGTAGGTCAAAACTTCTTACCTAATTCCTCTTACTATCACATTTTTGGCATCCATACTTTGCCTTGATTTGTATCCAACTGCTATATTTATAAGTCATAGCGATCCCAAACATAATTAAATAAAATTCTATAAATTCTATAAATAAATTCTATGTTTGTTCTCTTCTCGAGCTGAGTGATAGTGAATTATTTTCCAGCCGGATCAAGAAATCATTTTAATTTATGTATTCTTAATTGATACAATTAAATAGAAGCCCGAGATGTATTGTATTAACGATAGCCTAGGAATTACATTCAAATCTCGATGTACCCGCAAGATTCACCCAATAAAAATGAAATAACCGCCTATTCGCATTGAAATAGTTGCAACATAGTTGCAGTGAATTATCAATTTATCATGTTGAGGTGGAGAATTGGTTAATACTGTCACAATTCGCCGCTAATGCCAATCAATAGACTTACCGATTCTGCTACAGGTGCCAACTGTGCATTTGCATCAGGTGTCATAGTTTTTAAAGTTATTTGTTTGGCTTTGTTGGCCTCTCCGCTTTTATTGTTGTCAGCGGCGGCAGGCGATTTGAAAAATGGATTAAATGGTTGGACAGACAGCTTAAACGCCCCCTTCCTTTCATATGCAATGCGCGGCGATCGCGATTTAAATTGTTTTTCAATTCAAAGTCACATAATTAGCAATAGAGCGAGCCAAATCCAAATCCAAAGCCAAAGCCAAAGTCAGAGCTCCGGGCCAAGTAGTGACAATGACCATTGGGCGTGGAATGTGTCGCGAATGTGACCGACCAACTGGTTTTCCAATCCCATTTTCGGCTTTTCGGAAATTTGGCCTGGCATTCTTGGCATCGTTTCAAAGAAAAACCGAGTCAATCCGCAGTAAACAAGTCAGAATGCAGCAGTCTTATTTTCCGACACTTAACGTGTCCATTAGCAGGCTTATTTATCTGCTCACATTTCAATTTAAATGGCCAGCGGACATTAATATTATGGCTTTGAATTGTCTGTACTCGTATCAATTATTAAATTAGGTTGACTAGTTTCGATTAGATTTTGTAGTCCAACTAAGCAGGCGGATTATGCATTACTCGCTTCTTGCTGGTTTTTCAAATTCGGACTGCTTGTTTTGACATTATATGATTAGATAAATGGACTCGTTCTTTTCTGCGGCAAAATGTTGCTAAGTCAATTTGAATCATTTGCAATTTAACTGCGGGCATCAGCAGCTGTCAAACTGATTTAAGATGCATTTAACTGAAGGGGATTTTCTAACAGCACATAAGAAATCAATTCCAAATTGATTCCAGTTCCAAAGGATTGGGGAACATTGGCTATGTAGTGTCTCGAATATAGATTATTTATTTGATTCCAATAATGTTGATGAATATATCATTTAAATTCGATGTTAATGCTAATACATTTCTGCAGTGGAAGCGCGATGTGCAAATGGTCAAGGAGCTGCATGTGGGCACCTACCGCTTCTCCCTGTCCTGGCCCAGAATCATGCCCGGTGGCTACATGAACCACGTCAGTACAGCCGGTATTAAGTACTACTCCAACCTGATCGACGAGCTGCTGCGGTACAACATCACTCCGATGGTGACCATCTACCACTGGGAGCTGCCGCAAAAGCTGCAGGAGCTGGGTGGTTGGACCAATCCGGAGATAATCCCGCTGTTCAAGGACTATGCCCGCCTGGTGCTGGAAATGTACGGGGATCGGGTGAAGATCTGGACCACCGTCAACGAGCCGTGGCATGTGTGTGAGCACGGCTACGGAGTGGATTATATGGCGCCTTCGTACAATTACCCCGGCATTCCCGCCTATCTGTGTGGTCACAATCTGCTGAAGGCCCACGCCGAGGTGGTGCACATGTACCGGGAGCTCTTCCAGCCGCGCCAAGGTGGACGCATGGGCATCACGCTGGATACGTCCTGGCCGGAGCCCAAGGATCCCAACTCCGCCGAGGATCGCGAGGCCTCCGAGCGAGCCATGCAGTTCTATGTGGGCTGGTTCGGTCATCCCATCTTCTCCAAGCACGGCAACTATCCCAAGGTGATGATCGAGCGCATCAGAAACCTGAGCAAGGAGCAGGGCTTCGGAGCTCGATCCAGACTGCCGGTGTTCACCACCGAGGAGATTCATCGCATCCGCGGCACCTCCGACTTCTTCGGCATCAATTCCTACACCAGCAACCTGGTCACCTCCAATGGACACAACAATACCGGCAAGTTCCCAGTGCCGTCCTTCAATCACGATATGGGCGTGGTCGAGAGCCAGGAGGGCGTCGATTGGCCCGGTTCCGGATCCGTTTGGCTCAAGGTGAGTTTGACAGTAGCTTAGAGATTACAGTCTTAGGTAACAGCTAGAACAGGGACGTAAACTTTAAGATTGTCCAACCGGATTAATAACGAAAGATAGAAACAACAGGTATATGTATCCCCTCCCAAAGGAAGTGCTTCGAAAGTGGATGTTGTACACATTATATTATGTGGTTCAAGCTCTTTAAAAGGCTTCTTCTGCATCCCAGAATAATTACATTAGGAGTTCGAAAAACTACCCGTCTCGGCCACAATTTTACACCAGAACCATATTTCCTTCATCCTTCATCTGCACGACTTCAATTATCTCTCGCTTAGTCGGCCAAATTGATTGTGGCTCACCCCCTAGAGACGAGAGATGAGGAATTGAAATCCCCCACGTCCAGGATGAGGTGGTGTAATTAACTTGGTGGAGAGCTTGGGGTAACTCGAGGGTTGACTTATCCCCACTTAGAGTTTGAGTTATGGTTTGCCGAGTAAACTAGTTAGCGAGGAATCAAAAAGAGGGTGACTTTCGCCCAGGTGGCGCACAGGTGAATGAACTTCATTGACCGGGACCTGTTCCCCTTCTCCTCTCTGTTCCTGCAGGTCTATCCCAAGGGAATGTACAATCTGCTGATGTGGATACACCGGGAGTACAATGCACCCGAGATAATCGTCACGGAGAACGGAGTTAGTGATCGTGGTGGTCTGGAGGACTATGCCCGTGTGGACTACTACAATCTCTATCTCTCGGCGGTGCTGGATGCCATGGAGGATGGCGCGAATATCAGTGGCTATATCGCCTGGAGTCTGATGGACAGCTATGAGTGGAAGGCCGGCTTCTCGGAGAAATTCGGCCTCTACCATGTGGACTTCAACTCCCCGCAGCGAACCAGGACGCCCAAGATCTCGGCGCGAGTGTTTGCCCAGCTCTGTAAGACCAACACCATCGATTGGAGCTACAGACCCCAGCTGGATGATGAGCAGCAGCTGGTGGCCATGGCTCAGTTGCCGGCGGAAGCCAGGACAAGTGGTGCTAGTGGTGCTAGTGGAGCTGTCAGCTGGAGTCTGATGGGTGTTCTCCTGCTGGCGCTGCTTAGATAAGGAAACAAGTGAATACAAAGGAGAGAAAGAGCCTTGCCATATTCGATTGCTACTCGTATCCCTAAGTTCGTCTAACCGTCTCTGTAATATATTATGTATAGATGTTATAATTTGTACTAAGGTTGAAAGACTCAAAACTGAATAAAACCCCTTTGTGATATTTAAATCATTTTGCCATATTTAAAGAGTGAATCGCAAGGGGTAAATACCTGATCACAAAATAATTAAGACTTAGTGGCTTACTTCTTTTTAAGTCAAGATCGCACATTCAAATTCAAATTTTCGCTTCTTTCATACTTTAAAGAGATCAAAAACGGAACGGCACGAACTATTTTCAAAAGATCTACAGGTTGGCTTAGAATCGCGTCCACAAACAATTAGAATATGTCGTTTATTCTACCGAATGCCATTGAGATCACTCATATTCGTGCCTTCGAGCTGAGCTGGAAACCTTGAAAGATCGTTTGTAGGAAACCGAGAACTTCCATTCACCGGAAAGGTCATTTAGATGTTAATGCAGCCCTCTTTAGATTATTTTAGCGACCATTCAGTTCGACACGGAGTGACATTTACATGGAGTAATTTCCTTGAGCTGTCTCCCAACATTTCCGCACGTAAATCAAACGGAGAACCAACAAAATACCCAATGATCGGTGATATTTGCGGCACAATGAGCCCCGATGCTAATACATTATATCATCGCGATGAGGTCGGACTGGGGCTAATTGTAGGGGAGGGTCTGTATCTATCTCTATGGACGTTGGTCCAGCATGAATCGGAATACTAAAATCCCTTGCTAATCACCCTGATTAAATCACAGCTTATGCATATGTAGGCATATTCTTTGCATGACCACAACATCCGCCTGGCCTCAGTTCAACTTTAGTAAAGAAACTTTCAAATCGGAATCGGAATCTCGTGTACGTTCATATATAGATTTGCTGTTTGTTTGCCTCCCTCCAGAACCAGTTACCTTTCATTTTGGGTAATGCTTTTTTATTTACACTTATTTTTTATGCATTTAGCTGGATTTATTGTTTCAGCTCGCTCAAGTCACACGAAAACTGCTGAATAAATTAAGCAATTTTTGCCGTGTAGGAAACACTGAAATGCCAATGCCAGTAGGTAAAAGGGGGCAGCGAAATGCTTCTGGGGGAGGGGCTCGTCTGGAGTCTGGTCTCCACCTGCCTGGCGTGCTCCCAGCTTGACTTTGCACCTGTTTGAGTCACGAGCCGGCAACGGGCATATTCATAATTCATCAGTCCAGACTCTGGCGCTGGCAACTAAAGATTGCATGTAAAATAGAACTTGGGGTTCGTCTCTCCGGGTTACAAGGGAATATCGAAAGGGCTTTGGAAGTTCATTACCAGGGTATTATTCAATGGGAACATTATTGTTCTGTTCTCGACAAACCGAAGAAACCCAATGAGAAGTTGAGTGAATACTGCAACTAACTCACAAAGCCCAGATAAAGGGGGCAATACAAATTTAGGTTTCATATACAAATCAAAAAATATTTTGGCCACTATCGCTAACTCTTCCCTTGCACTCCTACCACCTGAGTAACGGGTAACTGATAGTCGAGGACTTAAATAGGGACACTGTGGATGAAAATACAAAATAGCACAAATTACAAAATGTTTGACCAAAATTTAAAGGGCTTTATGGGTTATAACCCTAATAGTTGAACATAAAAACTATAAAAGAATCCGGATCTGTACATCAACAACTACTTCTCTTCATTTTATTGCCAGCAAATTACGGCAGAATGGCTGTAGTTGATTTTTGATACATGATTAATGAGACGCAGTGGTCAGCCGAAGCCAAGGGAATATCAATCAATAGTACGAAAAGATCCGCTTCAGTTGCGGAGAACCCCAGTTTCCCCTTTATGGACACCCCGTGCCAGACTCCAAAATCAACACACATTAGCAAACCATGTTGTACAAACCAAGTGTGACGCAAAACTTGGCAAAAACAACAAGCCAACTTACAAGTCAAACAAACTGAGTGGGAAAAACGTTCTGGAGTTGGATGTTCTCAACCGTTTTTCCACTTTTTTGTGCTTTTTTCCGACGATGAAATTTTACAGGGCATTGCATCAGCCAAAGTTTAGTTCAGTTCACTAAGCTAAATTGCACGAACTTCGAAAAGGTAAGAGCGTGAGTAATATAAATAAATCCAGTATAAATACAGATCACGACCCGACGAAGATTAATTGCAGATAACGTTTAACCCCACGCATTTTAGTCAATGTATTCCATATGGAACTGCATGCTAAATCATTCTAGCCTTCGTAGTTTCGAGATCTCCAAATTCCTACCATATGGCCTTATCAACTCGGCTAGGGACTCTTGCCAAGAATAGATATACTTTATAGCGTCGGAAGCGCTTCCTTATATTTGTTACACATTCATATTTTATAATGATATTCAAATAGAAAATAAATAATAACACATCTTCTTTGAAATCGCAATTTAACTTAGAAAAATGACAAGGATAAAATACGTAGTAACAAATTAAGATAATATTAAAATCTTTATATATACTTTTATTCCATTGCATTTGTGATCATTTTCCGGAATGATTTCTGTGGTTTTGTAAGAAAGCGTCTTGTTCATTTTTAAATAGATAACTTGACTATATATAATTGATTAATTGTACATCCATTAAGGAAAATAATCGAACCCTTTGAATTTCCCGCATCGCTATTTCATAATAACGTACTTTCGCGATAATTACGTTGTAACCGGTTGTAACCGATTTAAACGGTTGGTGTATTGGATAACGCAGTTTTTACACATCTATAACATACTTTCAGGCAGTTTCTGTTCAGGAATGTATCCCTCTCTTTTTTATTTGAATCTACTTAGTATATTTCCAAATAATGCGTATATATATTAGGTTCTTTTCATTTAAATTATAAAAATTACTATGATAATAATCATTAACAATAATAATCGCATAACTTCTTCCCCAATTTCTTGACCTTTTAATGATAGATGGGAAAATATTGAATGCTATAAGGGACACAACTATTTTTCCCACAAATAAGACAATTCACTTATTAATGGTCTGTGAAAGCTTATCAAACTTAAGGATGAACAAATTCGTGGTTACTTTTGCCGTGTCACGTCGCTCTACCATTGTGGAACGTGCTGGGAAAGTGGATCTGCAGGAGCGGCTGCATCTCCCCCTTATCATCGTGCAGGATTAACCCGCTGCGCCATTTATATCCATTCATCAAATGATTCACAGACCTCAATGCACTTATTGAAAATTAATACGGCTTAGGACCCACCATAGTGCAAAAATCAGCACACATGCTCGCCCCCGAACACCACCCCCTGGTTTTTTCCCTAGCTCTAATCCCGCGAACAAGGCATTTAGGACCGCTGGAACTGAACAAACATCTGTCCAGGATGCGCATAGCGGCCTGAAAGAAGGATTAAATAACAATAAGTGTGATCAAGTAAATTAAAAACCAGAGTTCGATTGGGCTTGGCTCGGTTGCATCGCTAAATTGAGCTCAATTCGATGAAAATTTAATAGAGAAAAATTATTTTCCAATAGCAACAATTGCCCCAAGTTAATAATGTGTACACAGATTTCTGTGGCCCCGTGGTTAATTCTATTAAGATTTGTAAGCCGAATCAGGAGAATGCGGGTAGACCTACAAAAATCGGGCCTAAAATGTATAGAATGTAATATGCACATATGCTAGAGGAACTGATATTAAATATTTTATTTAAACAAGAGCATTGGTATTTATTTTTTAGTACGTATAACTCGAGAAATAGAGGTCAAAAAGTGTTATATTGATTCGGCTTCTCCATATATTTTACATTGTAACACTGCAATTAACACAGCGAAGCCGTTGAGTTAACCCTTTGAAATCAATATTCAATCACGTCATATACCAATATAGGTTTCCATAAACTGCTGCACTGATTGAAACATTCCCTTGAAAAATATAGCCCTCATCATTTGACCGGGCAACTCCACCCATTCCATCCGATATTATATGTAATGTCACTTCATGATTCCCCTTCTCAAGTGGATTACGTTTGGCGATAAAGTATCATTGAATCATTGAGATCTGTGCTTTGTGCTTTTGGTGTGTCGTTAAATGGCATCCATGTCTAGAGAGCTGTATATACGAATCCCCTCTTTCTTGGTGACATTTAGTAATTTCTGGACAACAAAAGAATAGAAGCGCACCCTCATACAATACGGGGCAACTGTTCGGTATGGAAATGGTTTTCAGAGCCCCAATTTGAGATAGCGAAGTTCTTGTCACTTCAATTGGTTTTCCCATAAATCTTTTCCTGAACTTTAATGTAGGCATGGGAAAAGTTGAAGCTAACTAGATATGTTCCTTTGGGTGTGAGATCCAGGTCCTTGCTCATTTAATTACGGCTGGGATTTCGGAAATAAAGAAATGTAAAGCCAGGAAGAAAGGTTTCTGTTTTGTGGGCCATAAATTAGGTGAAGGGAAAAGGTGCGAAGTCTGAGAAGGGAGGGTTGAGGCTCCTTGTAGAACGTGCCAGGATCAGAAGGCAGCTGATCCTTCCCTCCTTCTGTAAATCAACAAACCCAATCGCTCTCTATTCGTCTTTTCCAACCAAAGTTCATTGCACTTGGCTGTGCCTTGCGTTTGCTATAATGACAAGCCAATTACCAGCTAAAAGACCTGGACGTGAACGTGGACTTGGTCCACGAAATGCGTGTTTGCCAGAGGAGTCCAGGTCCATGTCCAGGTCCCGGCGACGGTTTGATGGCGTAACAAATTGGACAATCGACGCATGTCACCCCTTTTTAGGATGGAAAACAGTTAGAGCCATATTTGAGACAGTGACAAATGGTCGAATCCAAGTGATGAGGACATGCTTAGCCGTTTATGCGTTCATAAATTGGGATAAGGTTTCATACAAACTGTGATTTGGAAACCAAACAGAATGGTGCCATTTTACTGCAGCATTCTCATTCCTATATTTACATTCCTTACTTTTTACAACGAATACTTGATCAGATATAATCACCATCACGCACCGCGCATAAACTCCATGATTAGAGGAGTGCGCTACTGTACCCAGCCCGGCTTTCGAGGCTCTCAGTTTGGGAACCCACCACCAAAACCGGAGTCCGCAGTGAATCTGATGACGACCCTGCTGGAATCGCGGCGCCTGCGCAGCTGCCACCACTGTCCCGATCTAGGGAGCACCATGAATACATATGTACATAGCTACCTCCAGAGAAACCTCCTTTCCAAGTTCGTCGCCGCTTTGTCTGAAATTTCACGCAAAAGATATTGCGTGTGCGCTGGCAACTGCCTATAGATCGATCGCCTCGATATCGAATTTTTATTGTTGTTTGTTTGTCATTGCGAATGCGCCACCATCGAGCAGCCAAGGGGATAAAGGAGGAAAGGATGGGCCATTGTCCGGGGGCTTGGATTCCGCATCGGGGGTTGCTGAACTGCAATTGCAGTTTTACAGTTGCCACTGGAGGGTTACTTTTCCATGGCGTAACCACCCTTAGTGCCTTTGGTCCCTTCGATTATCATCGCCTGGGAATGCGCGCTCCTGGGAGTGGAACCGCTCTGAACTCGGGCTCGGATTTCGCCTCGATGTTTTCGGGATTTCGGTTTCGATGTTGGTCCGTGCTATGGCACATCTTCCCACCATTTGGAATCTCCCTTATTTGTATATTTTGATTCCGAACTCGGCATCAAGTCCATTGATTTTATGCATGTTTCTCGCACTTAACTGCTTTTGTAGCTTAGCTGCACTTTTGTTTTGACGATTTATTGGATTTGGGCAGTATTAGAGTGAGGGTGAGAGTTATGGTGCAGATAAGCAAACTGGAGTACATAGATCTGGAGTAGATTACCACTCAAGATTTATTGGCCATGCGCAAGTGAAAAACATTGGGCAGATGTATAAGAATGTACTGCAAATGGGTCTTAAATTCAGTACTCAAAGTATCGCTGAACAAATGCAAAGTCAACATACTGCATAAAATAGTTTAATATCTTTCAAAGTGAATAACAAATTGGAAACAAATCACCACAAGTATTTCGGAGCTAATGATACCATTGAAAACACCAAACAGTGTTTATTGCCCGATGTTCTGGCAATATCGAAATCAGATACAATTACTTTAAGAGCCATAAAACCATATCCACCCCAATGAGAGCAAAACATTTGTGCGATCATGTTAGCCCATTGAGATAAACGATCGCTCATTTGTAGCCACTGCCGATTCCGCAGCTGGTTATCAGCCACCGGCCATCTCACGCACCTTGACCACCACCAGTGACCATGTTCCTTGCTCCTTGTTCCATGGATCTCGATGCAGCGCCTCTGGACACGAGCGACACGCAATGGTTAATTGTTTTCCCTGTGCACTGTGTGTGTGTTTATGAGCCCAGCTACCGCCCACTGGGCCACTATCCTCGAATGGCCCACTACCTTCGACCGGGCAGAGCTAGTGTTAATTTATGGCGCACCTAAAAGTAGTCGCCATACAGATATACCCATACAGTCCACACCTCGGGACACACTCGTATATATCAGAATGATGTATCGCTAGAACCGGCCACACATCACACTTTGCAGCTGCCCAGCCCGGCTTACATAACGCCGAGCTCTTTGGTCGGGAAGCGGGTCTATTGTCGTCATTGTAGTCACATTATTAGATTCGCATCGCTGGCCATATTAATTGTTGCTGGTGGCCAAGTCGGGCGCACTGCAGCCAGCGGCTTGGTTGTTGGTTCATTGAGCAGGGCGGCAGAATGCAACTACTAAGGCCGTAATGATCGTGTATCCAGGAGCGGATTCTAATAATGCCACACAATATATTCAAAGTATAACTTACGCGGCAAGTGCGGAACTCGACTCTGAGTAACTCGAAAGTGACTGGAAATCTACAACAAATCTGCAACTCAAATTTTGAATAAATACAGGTGTTATTCAAGTCCGTCATTTCAACTTTTTCTTTTTAATTCAATTGAACTATTTTCAAAGTGGAAATTTGGTAGTACGTATATAGGGCTACCATTTAGCCATTTATACCAGAGCACATTGGCTTTACTTGTGCAGAAGAATTGAGGAACTGATTAAATGTCGCCCTTGAATCCGCCCCTGTTCGCAGCTTTCGTAGCCTGGGCTTGACACTCGAATTTGGTCAGTTGACGTGGGTTCTGGGCTAACGCTTTTCAGGCTTTCCAGTTCTTGCCAGAGTTTATGGCCGGAAATTCTAATTGCCATTCATTTGAGGTGGAAATGTCCCGCCATATCGAGTGCGCTCACCAAGAAGTGAATTACGTAGCTTTAATCATTTCGGGCAGGAACACTTTAATCAAATGGCTCACCTGTACTTTAAGGCAATGCAGTGGAAGTATCTCTCTCTGGTTTTCCCCTGGCGACTGGAAGGCTGGTGGCCAGGACAGGCAGACAAACGGACGGACAAGCAAACATTCCAGCAAGGATCGACAACCTGCAGGGTGGCTGTGGCAGTGGCTGTGTGGTGGTTGGTATCGATTTTTAGTGGCAATTGCAGTTGCCACTGGCAATCCGTGCCCCATGCCATTGGGGTAGTCTCAAGTTCGTCTGCCAATTATTTGCCGCTTATTAGGAGTACGGAGCACCAGAACTCGGACTTGGCACTTTGGGAGCGGGCAGCACGTGACTTGTTCTTCCGTCGCAGCCTTGGCCATTGTTTGCATTTGCATTCGCCGGATTTGGGGTGGCGCGTCCTTCACATGCAGCTGGAACAGACGAGGTCAGCACAATAGTTCACACTGATAACGCAGAAAGCAACCGAAAAATAAAGACTTAAATTAACAAAAATAATATGGGAATATCAACATTTTTAAAGCTTTTTCAAATGTTAATATATGACTTGGCTGTAAGGGTGGTTTGTATTTTACATCTTACTTACTTAACTTAATCTAATCTTGCTTTACTTAATATTTTTTATGTTTTTTTCAGTTTTCCTTATTAAAGAATGTTATATACTGTGTTATGTTATATACACTTTTCAAGCAGTTAACTTAAATCGTGTCCTTTGCTGCTGGTGGACACAACTCAAGTGTCGCCCTAATGTTTGGCCATTTGCATGAAGTGGGTGGCGGAGTGGGCGGCTAGGCTGGCGCAAGGGGTGGTTTAGCCACCCCGAGTGCAAATCAGGGCTAACCACTCACCACCCACCACCCACCACCCACTGAGAAGCGGGCGCTGACCAGCCGGATGGCTAAGCCCTCTGTTTTTTATGCGCCCGGCGAAGAGCCCAAGTAATCCTTTCAAACGTAAAACGCAAAGCCCACTGCGGTCGTCAGCGAAATTTAATGCAAAGGTGCAGACAAAATTGGGGTTGTCGGCCAAAAGCATTGCACATTCGCCCGATTGTATTAACGTTTTTTAATTACTCACCAACGAGAAGATATTTAATTTTATATGTATTTGCACTTTTCAGTCTGGTTAAACAGAGTATATATTAAAGAGTGTGCAAGTATTTATTTTGCTAAGTTGCTTCAGCTTGAAGAAGAGCTGCCACTAAAAATCTTTGGATTATCAGGTAAAAGCTTCGGTTTTGATTTTTTTGATTCGGTCTATGATTTTGGTTAGCACATTTTTATACCCGTTACTCGTAGAGTAAAAGGGTATACTAGGTTCGTTGAAAAGTATGTAACATGCACTTTCACTTTTTTATATATCTTGTAAATTTTTATAGATTTCCCAAAAAAACTTTTTGCAACGCCAACTCTAACGCCCACAAACCGACACAAAACTCTTACGCCCACACTTTTAACAATTTTTAACGGGTATCTGATAGTCGGGGAACTCGACTATAGCATTCTATCTTGTTTAGGATGTAGATGAGTGTTTGTTATTACTTTAATAAATTTTCAAGGAGTTAATAGCGAGTCAAAAAAATATTATTAGGCGGGGTGTTCATGATAAATACGAGAATACTGTGTAAGCTATCACATTCTAGTAAGTAAAAAAGTACGTAAATATATACTATTTATTTTACAATAGAATAAGGAAATTATTTCAAGCACTTGCGCCAAAAGCCCTTCAATTATTACATTAATGCTGTTTTTGCGCTGTGGAAAGGAAATATTAAAATAGCCAATTGGGTGATTGTTGCGGGGGGGAGAGGGGAGGGCAGTACGGCTGAAAAGGGGATATCACCCCAAAGGGCTTCCTCGCTCCGATTTGCTTCACGCTTCTGTGGGCACGAAAAAAGCGAATGCCGCCGACTGTCGACTGTCAGAAATCAATGCATTTATCCTCGTCGGCAACAAAAGCAAACAATTTGCGCTTTGTTATTGTTTCTGCCGTTGTTGTTTGTTATTTGTTGTTTACTGCCACTGCAGCCATCTCTTTCGCAGATCGGGTTAACGTGATGCCATCTCTATTACACTTTTTGCCTACACATGCAAGGCCAAAAAACAGTCGCGTCCATTGAAATAGTGTCGTGCTGACTTTTAAAAGTCCCGAAAAGTCCCGACTTTAATCAAATCAATCAAATTTGTAGGAAAGCAGTTTGTTTTTTTTTTTTTTGATAAGAACAACCTTACTATTTGTAGCCGAAGTCCCTAAATAGGTGGATTCTATGAGGAGGATCGGGAGTTTTGGGAGTTACAGCTTGCTTGATCTTTTATATGGCACCTCTGGTCTATGGTGATTTTCACCAAATAATAAACTGGTGATTTCATTTTCAAATTATTTTAGCATTAATTTATCATCATTTTTAGAAATGATCATTTATTTTCACTCACAGCATATATGAAATATATCCATTCTTGCTAATCCTCTTCCCCCAGGTGTGATTGCAGTTTCGGGCGCCTGTGAGCTCCCACGGGGATGCAATGTCGATGTCGATTTCGATTTCGGGGGGAGTAGCAACAATAGCCATAAGAACAACAGTGCGAGACGGGAAGTAATGAAGGAGGAACTGACTGAGCAGGGCGGTGAAAAATGTTTGGCAAGAGAGAATTTACAGCCTGGCCAATATCGGGGAACACGCCCCCCTGGGAGCACGCCCATTGCCATTACCAAATGTTGTAGCTCTGTAAATGGCTGGCAGTAATGTTTTCGTAATTTGTTATTTGCCCTGGCAACCCTGCGAAGTGCAGTTGCAGTGCGCGGCAACCCTGGCTCGGGCACTTTAATTAAGTTACCCGGATTTGAGCCAAGCGCAGACAAGCCATTTTCAATTCTAGTCGCTGCAAATGAACTCTTCCGAGAATCAAATTTCATTCCCCCCGGCCATAAAGTTGAAAAACTGTGTTTGGTAACACACTCGGGATTTGGGGGGACTGGAGTCACCTAGGAGTGGGTCGATGACGAGCGTAAAACCCTCAGGCAACCAGAGCTGCGTACCCACTGTTGCAAGTGCAGTGATCACTGGCATTTAGTGCACAACGATCGTATATTTTATTATGAACCTAATATATCTGAAATTTGGATCCCTATATACTTGTTCACTTAATAGCGCATTTGAATTTTGTGCTTAGCAAATCGTTCAAAATAGTTCGCAAATTTAAGTTACCATAGAGTTTAGTTTTTATATTATATGACCGCGAGCTAGATAGTTAATTAAATTCATTTTTCCATGCATAAAATCGGGTTTGGTAACCTTTGTATATCTTTGGATTAGTTTCTTCTGAATCACTTTTCCAAGCTCCTTAGAATATCGATATAAAATAAAAGAACATATTTATTTTACGAGCCATCACTGTACTTCATTTCCCCAGTTATTTTTTAGTTGCTTTTTTATAGCTTTCTATGTCGGTTGCCTCCGGTTTTTATGTTGGTTATGCTGCTGAATGAGCTCCTATGATTGCAATTCACTTAAGTTTGTTTTTTCGTTTGGTCGACTTAGAGTGCAGCACAGGCATCATCAGCCAGTATGGCCCAAAGAACGAGTCGTGGCAGAACAATGATAATAATAAAAGCCGTCCCTGGACTTCAGCAAACGGATGTTCTCAAGCGGCGCAACTGTTGCTCTGTGCACAGTGAGAAAATATTATTAGAAACCGTTCAATTGCAAATAAAATGGTTAAGACTCAAATCTCTTCCGTTGCTGCGCATATAATCATACTAAGTCTATTAATGCAAATGCAAATGATTATCTGCGAAGTATTTGAAACTTTTGTTTAAAATAATTAGTAATATTAATATTTGTTGAACTTTTGCAAAAAACAAACAATTCATATTTATGAATACTATTTTGAGTATATATTTATTGGGCTAAGTTTTGGAGTGATAAAGAGTAAGACGGAGAAAGATAAATAGGTATCCACCATGATCATCTTTGGATTATAAAGATTACATTATAAATTCAGACAGTATAGTATTTAATACCAAACTTCTTTAATTGCTTTCTGTACTGTGTATTTTTTTCAGTGCTCATCCAGGTTGGGGGCCATACCCTCGTCATTTCATCATAGATTGTGTTGCTGTTCCTGCAGTTTGTCTTTTGTTCATCTCTCTATCTGTATCTGTATCTGGCGGCCTCGTATCTTTGTGTTATGGTCTTTCGAGTTAATTGTAAAAGCTGCACTTGCGCACAGTTCGTTATTATCTTTGTGGGTAGTTGGAAAAGTAGAATACGAGCTTAATGAAGTTTTATGTGTTTCTAATGCTCAACCAATTTGTTTCGATATTTTTCTTCGGCCACTTCTCCACCGCGATGATTTTTCAATTGTGGTAGGAATATTTGTTTGTGGGGAAAACGTAAAATAAAGGCTGATTGAAGTGGGCAGATAGCGAAGTTGTAAGGTTCGATCTTGCAGTGAGTTAGCAGCATTAGAACTTGAAAGCGAACCTTTGTCTTGTTTCTTATATTAGGGTTCAGAATAGGTCGAAACATATGATTTAATTAATACACCCATAATCAACGAAGATTAGAGCATTGTGTATGTTGGCCTTTTAAGATTTGTTTCCCATTTAGCAGATAGTGCCAATTAAATTATGACCCATTCAATTGGCCAGATGACGTCAAGTGCATGACATTCAATAGTTCCCCTGCTTTCCCTAGTCAAATGTCATTTTGCATTTGGAACTATTTTTACACAAGTATGTTTGCCAGATTCGCTTGCGTGTTTTTTCCCCTTTTCTCGCGTGTCAGCGTTTGTCAACTCACTCTTCATCTTGGGGCGGCTTCTTTTTCCAGAAAAAGGGGGACAGGTCTGTAACATAATTTTATTTAATTACCGCCAACAACAACATGCGGCGACAACGAGACTTTTCCATGTGTCATAAAAATTACTTTATGCCTTCAGCTTTTAAAACTACAACATTTAGAATACCCTCACACATCAGTATATCATACAATTTACAAAGTAAAAGTGAGTTAGGTAGGTATGATTTAATATTCCATCTTTTGATATAACTCTAATATCTACAATGTATAAATTGCAATGTTGAATTTATATGTTATAGTTAAATAATAATTATAATATAATATAGCAAATTTTATTGAAATTTACAAAAATATTCGAAAGGTCACCTCCATCTTTTGATAGAACTCTAATATCTACAATGTACAAAATACAATGCTGAATTTACATGTTACAATTAAATAATAATTGCAATATAATACAGCAAATTTTATTGAAAATACAACAATATTCGAAAGGTCACATCCATCTTTTGATAGAACTCTAATATCTACAATGTACAAATTGCAATGCTGAATTTATATGTTATAATTAAATAATAATTGTAATATAACACAGCAAATTTTATTGAAATTTACAGCGCTTTCGTTTAGTGAATAGAATATAATGACACCAGTAATACACTTCGCAAGAGATTATTAGGAGGGACGAGGAGCGGGGGGCTTAGGAAGTGGGGTCATTGGAGTAGTAGCTTGTGAAAAGGGGCACTGAACAACTCGTTTTTCGCTGGCCACAATTTTTTCAACATTATAATTTCGCTTTGAATTACACACATTGCACAAACGGAGCCGAGCCGAGCCACAACGAGCACTACCAAGTTCATTGACTTGGCCAACAAGAACTACAAGTACAACAATAGCGAAATAACGAAAAGCACATAATGAGTGCAACAAGTTTGCATAGAGCCAGCGCTGATTATTTCAGCACTTATTAAATTTTAGCACAGCTACATCCAGCACAAGTGGCAACAACAACCACGGGCAACAGCGCCCATAACAACGCCATAATTATCATCGCCATAATCATGATCATCGCGATCCGGCGATCGAACAGCAGCTGCATTTCGCGTCTGCTTAACTTCTGAATTTCAGCCACATGCAACTGCAACTTGCAGCGCCTCTCGATCAACTCAATTGCTGCCGCTCACTTACTCCCAACTCCACAGATGCCCATCCCCGCCAGATGCCCAGCTGCCAGAGATGAGCTGGGATTTGGAGTGGCCATGAAGGAGCTTCGCCCCATACTGAGTACTTATTTGATTATTCTTCGATTTATTATATATCAGTTTGCTACCTGCATTATTGGATTAGATATCCATATGCTCTATAAGAAGATATCCTGATTAGGAGACCCATTCTATGCCAGTTCCTTGAGACTTTATAATGATTCTACCATTCCCAATCCGATATTATCATTTTATAGAATGAACCTAAAAAGCATTTATTTAACCATATTGAAATGAAATCCCAGCGGTCATCTCTGATTGAAGTGCATATGCAAAAGCCAGCAGCCGTCTCGTCTGGTTTCTTCGCCAGTCCATCCGCGTGTCCAAGAGCTCCGTTCGCTGTCCGAATGTCCAAGTGTCCGGAGAATGCCCGCAGCTATTTTACACGCCATTGACTTGCAAGTGGAAGAGGGCTGGGCTGGGCAGGCGGAGCAGAACTAGGAATGGTGCTCCAATGGAGATGCTACCAAATGCTAGCCGCCATGTGATCAAATCGTTCCCCGCGGCAGCTTCTGCTGCAGATGCATCCGCTGGATGCAGTTGGTCGTTGGGATGCATATAGTTTCCAGATGATCTCTGTAGCTCCCCGCACTTCCCGATCGATCGATTCCTAGATGGAGTTGGAGGAGTTGGAGGTTTTCAGCCTCTCACTATCCATCGATTGTGGGATTAGGGCAGTTCCTGTTCCAGTTGCTGGTGCTCCTCCTTCTCTTGCGTCGCACGATGCCGATCCCTCCCATTTCCCATCTCCCAGTGGCGGTGCATTTGAAAGTGCACTCTGCACAAAACAGTGCATAAAACGCCTAACACCTAACCAGGTTTTGAGTTCAGTCAACACATTTCTCCCAGTGCAGGCGTCACATCCCGTGTGCTGTCCTATTGTGGCCCGTTTCCTGCCGCTCGCAGTGCTTTGTGCTCCATTCCCCCTCGGTGTCTGATGTTGCCCCAGCATTTGTGTCTGGCCTCGTTTCCTTTCACGGGGAAGTTGCTGCGTTGCGTTGCGTTGGCAAAATCATCATTACCTGGCCGCAAAAATACAACAAGAACATGCAACAAGACCAACGAAACCAACGAAACTGAACCATTTTTCAGCTTTTCCGGGGAGTTCATTCAACTGGCGCCGCCTGCTGCGATTTCTTCTGCTTTTTTATCCCGCCAGACTCCTTGGTCGGCAAACTTTTGTGTTGACAACTACAGCCAGCAAAAAATATATGAAAAAAAAATGCAGGAAAAAAGAAATCAAGTTAGGGCCACCACCTCACCAGCGGAAAGCACCGCTCTCCAGTTGATGGATGCAACTGTTGCAACTGTTTTGCTGGATAATCCTCCATTAAAAGAAGCACAGAAAATCATGTTGAAGTGAGCGGAGAAAGGGTAGCGACTAGAGTGGTATCCTTTACTCAGTGATCTCGTTTAGAAAAAAACTATTTGGCAGTTTTACTACAACTCCGTCTTTCCATTAAGATGCCTTCCTTTTGCACCTCAAACTTATAAAAGTAAGTATTTTATTGGCTAATATAATCTTGACTTCTGGCCATTTGAATATTTTATTATTTTTCCTGCAAGTTGTATTTAAATACACATTGACAAGCCTCCTAGTTTAATGGTTTTGTAGTTCTGGCCTGTTGATCGTTGGGTTTATGGGCTAGAAAATTCGTTACTTTTGCCAGTCACAAACGCCGTCGAAAAAAAGCAGACCCCCAGTTGTCCCGACGAGCAGAGGGAATGGGAAAATATATGTTGCCTGCTGGCTTTTCCTGGGGTGAAAATCGTGAGTGGCGGAGGAGCTTTCGAAAATGTGCCACGTTGCACTTGTTACTTGCACCGCAGTCTCTCTTCGCCTCTGCAGCAATTCGTGTTCACCGTTTGCTGCCTTCAACTTCTTCTCCTTTAAGATAATTTTCTTCTCTGAAAACAGTGAAAAACTCGGAAAAATGAGGATGAAGCTGGAGCTGGAGCTGGAGCAGCTGCGCCGCCATCCACATCATCATCATCATCTTCTACTTGCTGGTGCTTGTGGTTTATGTAGGATACGTGCTGAGTGCCGGCGTGGAAATCTTTTTGAAATTGCTCATTGTTCTCGGTGCAAGATGCACTTTAATTGCACTCAGCGCGGGAGCAAGAGGATCCAAATCGTACGTGGCATAAATATTATCGGCACCTTTTTGCGCCGCAGTCAATCAATTAGGTCTAGATCGCACTGGATCTGTTGTAATTGAAATGCCAGATGGAGGAATTCGGAGTCGGGGGCCCGGACTAATGACCATGGCCATGACCGGGACCAGGATCCAGTTGGCCAGTTCCCGGGAACCACAAGAGTCGAAATCGAATGCCTTCAACAGGGCACTTGTGCTCCCTACAAATTGTGATATATTCCACATTGTTGCTTTTGTGCTGGAAAACCATTTCCGCGGAAAATAAATACGAGTAATTCTCATGTACTTAAAATCACTGGTCATTGACATGATAATTAAGTTGTGAATTTAAGATAATTATTTTTGAAAATAAAACGGATTATTCGGATTCCATCAAATATTTGCCCAATTCGATTCCATTGCTCGTATTGCCAACATTTCAGTTGCCAAGTTCATTAATTTGAGTACGTTTAAATCGATTTTCGTTGGGGATCGTCACTTTGGAACTTCCGGTTCCCATCAAATGCAAACACTTCCCCCAGGCCTAATAAATCATTTGTCATTTTGCCATTTGCCAAATAATTTGGCGCCCTCGCCAGACGTGAATTACATATGCATGATTTTTCCCATAGAAACAATGGGGCAACTGTGACTATTATTCAAATTCCGCTTGAACAAACCATTAAAGCCAAAAGTGTAGACCAACAAGTAGGAACAACAGGCGAAAGACAGAGAAATTGCGGGTGCAATAAATTTATTTACAATTCACGCACGACAACACCACAATCCCAACTTCTAAGTCCCAGCCCTCGATTCTCAGCAATTTGCATATTCATGGAACTCGATACACCAAACACCCCTCAGCTGAAAATTTGAATTCAAATTTGAATTTTTATTCCATTTCTCTCCTTTGCCGGAGGAGGAGCACGTGCTGTGCTGGCTTGTAATGACGTCATTAAGTGCTCCTCAGCTACCAAACTGTGGCCAAGGTCTATCCTCACCCACTTTCCCAATCCATGCACACCAAGGAAAATTTGTGTATCTTTCATAGAGAAGATACAAGGCTGTCATATATCTTGCAGATATCTTTGTAGATCATATATCCAACACTATTTTGCAATCCGATTGCTTAGTTACCAGCAACTTACTATAAATAATATATACAAAAGTATAATTAAAATTAACATTTCCAAAGTAATAATTACTGCTGACACTTAATATTAAGTGTCAATTCGCTGCGCTAAATCTTAAATGAGAAAGGTTCCAGAGCTAATCTTCTCCGCCTATAAAAACCTCGTTGCAAAGTGAGAGCATTATGTTTCCTAAGCAAATCCAGAGACTCACGCAAAATGGCCCACATTGGAACTTTTCTTGGTGAGTTTTCAGAACCTAAACTACAATTGTGGATTACTAAAAGGGTTTCTGATTTTATAGCAATCGCTCTGCTAGCAGTTGTGGCTAAGCCTACTTGCCCAGGAGGTTGTGCTGGTTGGAAGCTGGGAGGCTAGAATGATGTGAAATATGGTTCTATTCAAATACATCCTGGCATTGAAAAAATAACACAGCTTGTTGTTTGTAGGAATGGGCTTAAATGGGCTTAGCAAGAGGAAAAGAGGTAAACGCAAAATGTAGGGATCTGTTTTAAAAAAATCAGAAATCAGAATATACGAGTATATATATATTGTAAAATGCGTTGAACAGATCCCTTTTGTTTTCCGTGTACCATTCTCTTTCTCCACGGTCTGGATCATTAATTCGAACGATGCGATCTTTGACATTTTTATACATTGCCAACCATTTTCCTAAAGCAATTTTTCGTAATGGAAAACTTTTTGCTCTTTCTCTGATCGGATTTCTGTGGCAGTGGAGCAGGGGGAGTGGGCTGGAGGGGGAGTTATTGGCCAGGCCAGTAGATGCAAAGATTAGTAAAGAAAAATTGTTAATGGTTATTTTTGAGGTAAAATAAATTTGTTCCACAGAAAGAGAAGGAGAGATAGATGGCAGGCGACTTGCAAGAAGATCAGGAAAAGTCGTGAAAATCGTTACCGGGATAATTGCCGATCGTTTGGCAAAAGGAGGAGCTCCAAACAAAAAAAAAAGACTGCAGTTGGAGTTGGAGAAGGCGGAAGACTCGGAAATTACTTGACCCACAATCTGAACTTTGTAAAAATTGAGCCGAATCTAGGCTAAATGCTTGGTGGAGGATTGACTTCTCCTTTTCAGCGATCTTCCAGATTGTCTTCTCCTTTATAGCGGCTATAATTTTGGCTACATTCTTAAAAGAAAGCAAATGATCTCTAGGTATTGTATAAAGTTATATACATATTACTTGTATGAGGTAATGAAACATTAATGGAAAATATATAGGAGTACAAATAAAGTACTGAGTTGTTAGCTTCATTGAAATTGAGCTAATTGGTATAAAATAATAAGTTATATTAAGTAAGTTAAATAATATCTATAAGTTTGCTACGTAACCGGTTCTTATAAAATAATATAAAAGTGATTTTATATTATAGCTACCGGAAGCAACGTGTAATAAAACATTCCCTTGCTTCTTTTTCTTTTAGAACTCAGGCACTCAGGAACTTTCTTACAAAGTCGTACTTTTTCAAGGGTATCCCAAATTTCCAGTTCAAACATCTAGAGGGAATGGGAATGTCGTAATTGGGAATGGGTTTTAAAGCTTAAGTGCCGGTGGAGGTTTTACGGGTGCTAATGATGACGTTGAGAGGTTCTGGAGTGGAAACGTTTTGAAATGCCTTTCGAGCATCACCAGCATTCACATCGAAATTTGTCATAATTGGCCATTTTATGGGCCCCGATTCCCTTTTCTTCATCACTCCTTTTTATTTTGTGTGGTGGAGCGTTGAGTGTCATTTTATTTCTTGCTTTATTCCCAGATTTCTGTGGGATCTTTCTCCGGGGCCTTTGCTACGTTCTGGTTTTTCAATTTTTCAGCTTTGATTTCTTTTCATCCTCACGCGAGTGCAACTGCGGTGCCCCATTTTCTGTTTTCATTATAATTCCATCGAATTCCCCAAGGAATTTCAGCGAGGGGTGAAACTGCAAGAAAACACCAATTCGAGGATGTGTTATTTTTAGTCAGCGCGAATTCTGTCTCCTGGCTTGTTTATTTATTTAATTCGGCATTGACTTTCGATCGAAGCTGTGGTCTGCTAAGGCATTTAAATGTTTTTGAGTGCCACTGAATGTGGATGTGGGTATTTACATGGATGTGGGCAAGTGAAACACGATGCAGTTCGGGATGTGTGCTGACGTGTTGTTTTGGTATTTTATTATTTCTGATAATTATAGTTTACAAAAATAGGTTTACTGTATCTATATCGCCATTGAGCTTGGAGTTCAATTGCAGGAACGCGCTACAAGCTGGATTAATTTGGGGCCTTTGCTTGAGTTAGCCTAAGTTTCCATGTAGTTTTGAGTTTGTTTTCCTTTTCCAAAGCTTTTGGTGGAGCTGTTCTCCGCTTGGCTCCGTCGTGACTGGTAGTGTCAGACGCAGTCATAAATATCCCTCGGCTCGATCTGTCGTGGCCCTACGAAGTCTTTCGCCTGGCTTTCCCGGGAGTGGGAGAAAAAGTGGAAAACGCTGGTGCTGCTGCGATAACTTGGCTATTTCTCTGATTGATTGATTGCCGGCAACGTCTGACATCGAATCTGACCCTGAATCCCGACTGCCTGCAATGGTAGCAACATAAAACAGAAGCGATACAGGCCGATTGCAACTGCAGCTCAGCCAGAGATCAATCGCAAAAACGGCGCAATTTCAATAATTCACAAAAGGAAACGTTTCCGAAGGGCGGCGGGCGGCGGGCGGGGGCTTGTAACGGTGGGTGCCCCTCTCGAGAATTATGGGTCTGTCAATGTCGAAGGAGGGGCGACCCCAAAAGAGCTACCAAAAATGGCAATGCCAATTTCAGTTTGCCAGCGAACTGCGAAGGGGGAAAGGTGGAGGTGGAGGTGGAGTTGGAGTTGGAGTTGGAGTTGGAGGTAACGTGTATGGAGCATAAAGGGTGCCCCCACCCCCACTCGCCTTCGTATTCCATGCAGCACCCCCGACTTTAATAAACGCATCGCTGCACAGACAACTGCCAATGAGCACAATGAGAAATGTCTAAAATCGCAAGCCCACTCCGTGCGATCAAAGTCCCTCCTCCGCCGCTTTTCCTGTCTTGGCAGCTCGAATACTCCTCCTTCTCACTTGTATGGGCAATACACGGAACAAATTATTGTTTGCCTTTGTAACACATCAAAACACATGTATTTCCTCACATACACCAACATAGTATGACCATGCTTTGCCCTTTTTCCATAACTATCGAAAAACAAATACATCACCAAATGTTATAACGAAGTTATTCACCTGTTTTTTCTCTCTGTGCAGCGGCGCAGCATTGCAGCCGCGTTGCAAGTTTTCAAGTTGTGCTGCTCCCATTTAAGGCGCAATGACGCTTCGCTCATGCGCATCACGCACACGACAAACGTCCCTCCCGCCTTCTTGCACCTTCGTGGCAGATCCTCCCCCTCGGCGGATGGCCCCCCTCCACATCAATTGTCACCAGGCATCTGCCACATCGACACATGAAGCCTGGAGTGCATCCATTGCCCCAAAACGTTCGCCATCGGAAAACTCACGACCTGGAAACTGGGAACGACTCCAGCTGAATCAGCAATGTAGGAGTATGGGAGTCTATCAAGGGGTATTCGTAAGGTTATAATAAAATGCACGAGTTGAAGACAAGTCCCATTATGTTCCGTGCTTTTCCGTTTACTCCCCATTAGTATGATCCACTTAATAATTCATTAGGTGCAAATTGCAACAGTTTGCAGCCCACATATATAATATCTACAATAAGGTTTTAGCTGAAGAGCAATACTAGTGCATTAGATACAATACAATACTAATATTACAATACACAATATACAATAATACAATATAATACTAATTCAATACATTAGATATATATTTATTATATTATTTATACTATTTTACTGCCCAATCAGCTGTTACTTTTCCGCCCTGTCAGTCGGCTTTCGGATTGCCGCACTCATTGCCGCATTGTTGCAGTTGCACTCAACTATTCAGGCCCTTTGCTGGTGACATGTTGGCTATTTTTAAACGCCGCATCTGCAGCGATTTGCAACGAAACCAAAAGATGTTGCTAACCATTTGCTAAACTGCCCAGTTTACACGGGAAAACATGTTCAATCCCCTTAAATAGATACATAAAAATAATAAACATTGGAACTTTGAATTTCATCTTACTTTATTACGATATAGAGTACTATAATATAAGTACTATAATATAATACTACATAATAACTATATAATACTATAATAAGTACTATAATATAATATTAACAAAGGTATTAAAGGTTGTTATAATTCAAAATATATTTCTAATGATAGCAGATGTATATCTATGCAGTGTTCCGATTTACAAAGCAAGAAATATGATATATTTTTCAGACCCAAGCCTTTAAATACATCTGTATGAAACCATCTCGAATCAGTGGTATCTACCGTCTTTCCTTTCACAGTTGACAGCTTTGCGCTTGAACTGCCAATTTTTCGCCCTGAACTTGAGAAGTGCAGCTGTGCCCAGCTGCGTCAATTGCAGACGAGGTGTGGGTGGACAATCAATTCCGCCAAAAGCCAGAAAAGCCAGAAAAGGTGCCACTTTTTTCCTAACCCTCGGCCAGCTTTCCCCCGCTTTTCCCGGCTTTTCCGCCTTCGTTCTTCGTTTACTTTGCCGAGCCTCAGGTGTTTCTTCACATTTAACTGTTGCCGTTTCCGGTCATCAAGTTGGCCACTTACGGATGTGTAAGGCCCACCCCGCACCTCTGTTACCTACTGCTCCCCCTGGTCACTTTGGTTCGGTTTTAGTTCTCGACTTAACTGGATTTCACTCCCCCAACTCAGAACGCAGAGCCATGGGCGACAGAGCGCTAATGACATTCAACACTATATTCTTGGAGCTTTGTCGGCTTAGTTCCCATTGTTTTTATACCCATTCCACCCAAAAGCATATTGAGTTTGGGTAAATATAGGTTACATCCACAGTTCCCATGCAGTTGGACCTTAGCATCTAAAGCTTATTAAAACATGAATTTCGGGATGAAGGGTCAAAGTGAACTCTACAGGAAATTGGTTGGCTCCTTAAATTTCAAGAAAAAACATATGCCCACCAAATTAGAATACTAAAGTTTAAATGGCAGGGTATCGCGAGTTCGACCACCTTGCTTAGCTGCTCTGTCGTATTGCTTACTTTTTGTGCACGTGTAGCCAAACAAAATTAACATTTAAATGCGCTCGCAACGGTCGCTTTTCCCCTCGAGCTCGCCGCACATCCGAAATGAAAACTCAAATGGAAGCTGACTCCCAAAGTCCGGCAGAGAAATGATTTCAGCGCAGAATAATTATAGGAATATACATAAAAATCAGAAAAGAAACTGCAGCCACCCACGCAGCGAGTTGAACTTTAATTAAACACTCGCGAGGACCACCAACCAAGAAAAAATGATAAAATAAGGAACTG